ACTACTACTACTTCTACTACTGCTACAGCTTCAGCATCAGCTACAGCTACAGCTGCAACTGCTTCTCTGGTTTTGGGGGTACTGGTACTGAGGCCTGTGCTGGTGACAGCACGGGTTTAGGTTGGCAGTACCAGTAGTAACTTGTGTCGTAGTTAAAGATATTGACCTCATCTGTTCAGAAAACATGTGCAGCATTACCCCGGGCTGCGTTGCCTGTTCACCTTGTGACGTTCCGTGACCTTGCGAAGAAAGACTTGACCCCAAAGCATCTATGAGGCGTGGGATGCAGGGCCTGAAACACAAGAGGCCCCGCGGAGATCAGCAGATCTCGCTTGCAATCTCAGGCTGTGCTGCCTGCGGTTGCCAAGGGCTCAGGGCAGAGGCATGGCTTATTGCAAGAACTGTGGGGATTGCGACTCTTCGCACTTGGGCAAGATTGCGGTCGGTGACGGTCCTTGCCCCTGTTCCAGTGGTGGCACAGCTACTTCTAGTGCCAGTGAGCCCTAGACAGCAGGGTGCTGAACTGCCCAGTCCAGTCCGTTCGAAGCGGAAGCAGCGAGCGCAAGCGTCCAAAACCTGACACGAGATCCAGAGCTCCATGAGATACAGCTGCTTGAAACACGATTTGTCGTATACTGCTCAATTTGCAGATTTTTCACCTGAACCTATCGCTGGTTCTCAACAGACTCCGCACCTTGTACCTACGTAGTTGTCAAGACAAGATATGCATAGACAGAGATGACAAGGCACATATTATGCAAAAAACAGTCTCTCACTCGCTCTCTCTCCCGCTCCGTCTCTCACGCACTCGCCTCTAATGTCATAACGGGCAGTGCAAACTACATTTATGCTTCTTCTGCTCTCGCGATCGTGGCCAACCCCATTGAAAGAGGCTTTCCTGCTCTGTTGCTAGTGGTGGTGTTACGTATACAACATACCGTCAGCCTTGATCCATGGTCTGAACCATAAACCGTCATCCCAATCTCTGAACCCAAAACCTAAATCCTTCCAGCCCTGAACTCCGAATTCTTCAGCACCGAAACCGGGCAGTTTCTGAGGTCGCCCCCAAGGACTTGCTCCGACTTGGTGGGCCTGATGCCTTTCGGCCCAATGTGGAGCTGTGTTGTTGTTCTTCTGGTTATGACGACTAACGATGTCCCCCAGCTTCTGCGAGCCTCACCAACTACTTATTGGAAATACACACCTCCGATCCACACACAATCGCCAGGGCAAGCACAACTGGCTGCCACCGCAAGCTGAAACCGTACTTGCTGTGGAGCATGCAAACTCTGGCGATGATGATGATGGTCGATGAGATGATGAAGATGAAGATGAAGATGAAGATGAAGAAGAAGAATATGATGATGATGATGACGATGATGATGATGATGAAGAAAGCTGCGAGTCTGCGGAAAGATTTGGCAGCTTGACCCGGAACGTCCCGATCGTATGCAGTCATGTTCATTGGGATTCGTCAGCAAATCAACCCAATGCCCATCGCTCTCCTGGCGGTCTTGGTCTTGGCCATTGGTTTTGCAGCCTGGAGTGTTGGAAGTGGCCAAGTAGGGAACACTAGCTTGGCAACAACATGCCTCTCAACATCGGATCCGTTTGGATCATGTGTCCGAGACAACCCAAAATATACGAAGCCGCAGGCGCAAGTACGTGACTGAGACTGGATCAGTACAAGACACAGCAACAGATAGAATGCTGAGTGCCTTGCAATGACCAAACGGACACGGAGGGGCAGGAAGGCCCTTCTCGAAGATCGCCAGGCCTGTACGTATGCAGGACTGACTGACGGGCTGACGGTACCGATTGAAAAATTGAATAACTGACCGAACGACCGACCGACTCCCTGGCAAATTGGCTAACATACCATCAATCACATCAAGCGGCCGCAAGAATCATAAGGAAAGGGAATCTAGAAATTGAAACTGCGCTCCAGGCCCTCGCTGGTTGGGCCACCGCGGCAGCTACCTGCAACTTGGTCGTCCTTGGGGGTCTTGTCTCCGAGTAATGCTTCGAAGTGTCAGAGCTTTACATTCACTTGACAAAAGCAGCCAGCAATTAGCTTTGAGAGGTGGGATTTGTATCTTGGTGTGCAGGTCTTCGACTCGTTGCCAGGTGTTGCGTGGGGTTGCAACTTCCGAGAGGTTGAACACATCAGGACATTCCCCAAAAGCGACGAAGCCTGACTGGGCAGCGCGCCAGGCACTACCGATCCGACGAAGGGGTTTGGTGCCTCGGTTTGGAATATCACGGCGGAGGAAGACAAGTTCGGGTTGGAGAGGTTCGAGAATGTGATTTTCGACGGACTTGATGCCAGGGGACTTCAAACCTTGGAGGTGATTGCGGAAGGCCGTCGTCATCATGACCATCTTCTTCTTCGTCAACATCATCAACATCACCAGCATCACCAACATCACCACCACCACCATGACCATGATCGCCATCACCATCACCATCATCACCACCATCATCATCATCATCACCATCATCAATATGGTGACCATCATCATCACCATCACTAGTACCAGCACCAGCACCAGCACCAGCAGCACCACCACCACCACCATCATCATCATCATCATCACCACCATCCTCCTCCTCCTCCTCATCATCATCAGCATCATCAGCATCATCAGCATCAGCATCATCATCATCATCATCACCACCACCATCAACATTAACATCACCATCAACAACATCATCATCATCATCAGCATCATCACCACCATCCTCCTCCTCCTCCTCACCATCATCGTCAGCACCATCAGCATCATCATCATCACCACCACCATCAACATTAACATCACCATCAACAACATCATCATCATCAGCATCATCACCACCATCCTCCTCCTCCTCATCATCATCGTCAGCACCATCAGCATCATCATCACCATCATCATCACCACCATCCGCATCGTCACCATCACCATCCTGCTCCTCCTCCTCTTCCTCGTCATCATCATCGTCGTCAGCATCTACAGCGTCATCATCAATATCACCATCATCATCATCAACAACATCATCTTCATCACCACCATCATCGTGATCATCACCGCCATCGTTTTCGTCATCATCGTCGCCACGGTCATCTTTGTTTCCATCGTTTCAACATCCTCACCATCATTAAGATCATGGTTCATGGTTTCAAGAAGTGACAAGTAAGTCTCGTGATCATTGTCGTCGGGATGATGAATATTCGGGGTACGCGGAGAAGGGCAAACATAGTGTTCAGCAAAAGTAATGATGCCCGTGTTCAGAAACAAGGTCCTTTCTTTGTCTTTGGTAGCAGTCGGAGCGCCAAAGGCATGTACCCAACACACGATGGTTGCATGTGGAAGGAGCCGTGCCAGAGTGGCTGAGGGCTTCCGTGCTCCTTTCTTGAGTTTGCGGCGAAGATGATTTTAACGCGTTGTCTGTCAGACTCTGGGTGAAGCGTTTGCTAAGCCACAACTTGCCTGACTTCCAAAGATTAAAGAAAAGACCCCTCCGTGTGCAGCTCGTGACTGCTCAACAGCTTTGTTGGATTTAGATTCAAGGCGGCCCACAAACGCAGTGAATCTTCGGGGGCCTGGCAGTTGAGGGTTTCTCATCTTTAGGAACTTTAGTGGGCTTTGCCAGTTTCTTGGCTCAGGCATCGGTCTTCTGGTCTATGCCGCGCTGTTCCCTGTACGCCGCCTGCTCCCAAAGAAGTCGGCCTGACGTGGGGCCGTGGACAAAAAGGTTGCGAACCTCCCACAAAGCCGGCGGTGGCCGTTCTGAGCCCTGTGCCTGTGCCGTTCAACTGAATCTGGGGCTACCTGGCTGGTGCATTTTTGCAACTTCGTCCGTCCAAGCTGACAGTTGCAAGCCGTGCCAGATGCAGATGGACAAGCACGCCGGCAAGCTCGATGCAGCTCACAGAGCCGTTGCTGGGCTTGAAGCTGGTGCCGAACGGGCATGAGACTATGCTTGTGTCTAGAATATGCTTTCGACATGCCATGGGGATCGAGACAGACTTTATCTATACAGAGGGGGAAACCAGGTAGGCCGTTGCGAAGCCCTATCGACAGCGTTGAAGATAGTGATAGTGTTTAATCGAAGGCATGCCTGTTTCACCCCTTTTTTTTGACTATGTGAGAAAATGCAGCCTGACCACGTCGTGAGGTGGAACTGATGTCGAGGAAGTGGCTGAAGGGCGACTGTTTGGGACTCATCGACGAGGTCTACAACGCTGGAGACTCGGTCCTTGCAATCTTTTCAGTCAACGTCACTGCTGACTGCTGTAGGACACTCGTGGCAAGTGTGCACGCTGTCCCTGTTAGTCTTTTCTGTGAGCACGACTCGCTGAACCAAAAGCCGTGCGAGGTCTGGTCCAAGTTTGCCCTTAAGCGGGCTGAGGCGAAAGTGACTGTGGCAGGGTTCCGATAAGGTTTTCAGGTTCAGATGAACTTTCGCATTGAGAAACAACGACCCACCTGTCCAATTATGGGGTGAGCGTTCAGTGAAAAGTCTTTGGGAGCTTGAAACTTGTGGGTCATTGTCGGAGTTGAAGGATGTTCAAGCCCATCATGTCCACCCTTGCTGGCTTCATTGCTGACCCGATGCTCGTGATGATATGGCAACATGCGTTACTCCGGAGAGAGCGCTTTTGACGGCAGGATCAATGGTTCTGTCAGGAGCTCCCGCTAGGTGTCAACCTCGCAGAATGAAACGCATGCAGACGTCAGCCTCCTCCGCACGCGGTAGCTGCTGTTTGCATGGTGATCTGCTTGTCATTAGACCTCATACCAACATCAACAATTCCATTGCGGACGCGATGGGCGACTGCACTCCGAGTACTCGCGCATATGCTCGAGAATGCTTGAGTTCGCTCGAGTATGCTGCATGCTCGAATATGCTCGAGTACGCCCGAGTGGCATTTTATGTGATGTAATGCTCGTGCCTACCCGCGCATAGTCACTCGTGTTTACAATTCTCGCGCATACTCGCGCATACCCGTGCATACACGTGCATACACGCGCATATACGCGCACACCCGGCGCTCCCCAGACCGCCCACCAGCAGTCGCACTTTCCCGCCACAGTGAACACTTCCTGCGGACCCCGCATGGCGCATGTCGTCAGCGGGTGCAGTTTCGTGTGCAGAACCTGTCATCCGAGCAGTGATGGCAGCAGAAGCATTTGTCGACTTCACTCCAAATTTGTCAAAATGCGTCTGATCGTCGGACCCTGGGCAGTCGGAGAAGAAGCTGAATTCAGTCAAGATGTCGGTGGCCAAATGGGCCGCTTGGAGAAGAGCAGTGTGCTTGTGCAGCTGGAAGCTGTTCCCATAAGCCTGACGTGCCCAAACTCCGAGAAGTGAGGGCTGTTGCAGGTCTTTTCCCGTTTTGCTTTTCTGCAGAAATCGCGGGAAGTTGGTGAACGTAGGGGATCATGCTGGGTACGCTATTACCGGTGTACAAAAGCTAAAGGCCCCGAAAATGAGACAGTGTGTTAAAGGCACGGTCGGAGATTGAGCTCGCGAGCCGATTGCCTTCCGGCTCCTGAGGCTCGTGGCGATGCCAAGGGAGTCCCTGCCCAAGCTGCGAGCATGTTGGACCTCGATCTTCTCTTAGAGCGATGCCGGCATAAAGACGTTTGCACGTTTTCGACAGTCGTTCACCCTCTTGCGCTCATATCTGCACTCCTCGCTATTCGTTGCTACGTCGTAGTTCGCGGGATCCATCCAGACGTTTTCGGAGATTCTGACAAGGATGGATGGCGCGAAGGTCTGCAAGGTCCAGGCAGCACCATTCACTTCTGCTCAGGTCCTGGTGACCGTGTTCATGGGCTGGAAGCAAGATGCGAAAACGGCGGCGGCGGATAGAAAGATGGAGGTGGGAAAGCCACGTCAACGTCTGTTGAGCCGAATTCTCACAATCTCGGGATGGGTCAGCATTTGGTATGTCAACCCGATAGCCTGATCTGATCTCAAGCGGTACTTGCAAGCTGCGTTGGATTCTGTGGCAGGAAGCCCTTTTGAATGAGCAAGCGAAGCTGGAAGAGATCCTGGCGACCCGGCCTGGGGACAGTCCCCTATTTTTGTAGCGATGGTGTGCTCTGGCAACTTGCTCCTTGCAGGGTGAAGGCATGATAGTCTGATAGTCACTTTCCAGGCGATTGTCGCCTTTAGTTCTTCAGTTCCCTCTAGCCTGACTTTTCCGGCCCTTTAAGCATCTGTGTTTGTGTGACAACCCAGGCTGCCCAGCGCGCGGGCCGGGCTCCCAGCTTTGCGGCGCTGTGAAAACGGCTTCCGTTCGGCCTTTCTTGGGCACGACTGTGGTTCCCTTGTGCAGGCTACGAGACTGAGCTGGCGAAGCACAGAACCGAGGTGTCGCAGGGGTGGGTCAAACGGCACAGAAATTACGTGACTTCCTGGTTGAATCTTTCATACGTCGGGGTTCCGAGCCGACCAGAAAGACAGCAAGAGTCGCATTGAGAGTGAAGACATTGATAGCTTGACAGAGCAAGGCAAGGTCTGCAGCAATGCAGCAGCTGTAGTGAAGAATACTGACAGTTGTGTGCATCCTGCAGCCACCTCTATCTTGTATCTGCACCTTATGTTCGCTGAGCCACCATCACCACCACAACCGTCTTCATCATCACAGCCAGCGTCGAAGTCATCATCACCGTTATCACGGCATGTCAGAGCCCTCAAAGAAGAGCTGCCACATTTGGGCAAGGACTTACTTGAGCCCAAGTGAAAGCCAGAGCAACAGCAACAAAGCACAAGACGTAGACGTAGGCAATGTGGGCACATGAGTAGTCACAGTTTCATCTTGCACGTGAGGCTGCCCTGATCCCGCACCCGAATGTAAGCCGTAGTTCAGATAGAAGCCCGGACTTCCACGGTTCCTTCGAGCAATGGTGCCCTCGTGGCTGCTGGCTGGCTTCCTCCTTTGCCAGGGCCAGGCGCAGACCTGCAAAATCAAACGGAACACCTCATCTGCAAGACCATTTTGTAAGGTTCCCGTCTTCGTGCTGAGGGTTGTTGATTGAGCAGTTGCCTTCTGGAAAAAGTACCAGTGCAGATCGGGTATGTGGCCCAAGATGTCAGAGTTGTTCAGAACCCATTGTCGAACATTCCGCGCTTGGCAGGAGTCGGATGTGGACAAGTTCTACTACCGGCAGGCTAAGATTTGAGAGTCAAGGAGGGTCATGGTGCACAGGAGCCGACGAGCTATATTTTCGGAATGCATTTGGCCCCGGCAGCAGCCCCATGGCAGGCTTATGCTGCAGCCCGGAGCGAATCTATGACAGCAGAAGTGCAGGTTCGCTGCAGGATCTGCTCTGACAGAACTTGCCCGGAAAAGAAGCACCATATGACTCAGGGGCTCATGTAATCAGACACGTGACATTTATGCGTGTGGGCACGAGAGTACATTGAGCATCTGTGTAATCTCGCATACAAACATAAAAAGGCAGAAAGCCACGCAAGACCCAAGTCGAATGTCGCAAGATGTCGCAACGACCAGTTTCGCATACGCGCATGTCGCAAGTCCAAGGACTACTACTTACGGCGAGCCTTTGAGTTCAAAGACGACTCCGATGCATGCCGGCAGTTCCTCGAAGTGGCGGTGGAGATAAGCCCCGAGAACACCTCAGCTCTTCGGACGTTAACCATGCTTTATCGGGAGAGCAGATCGGGACCCATGCGCCTGCGTCCTGGTGAGGTAGCCTCCCGAGCACAGGCGCTGCCGTGCGGCTTCAAGGAGAGCTTTTTGGGACCCATCCCAAAAACTCGGGCTGCTTGGACTTCGTAGGTCAGTTTTTTTGCTCCTTGTGGGATTTCCGATCTGCCGTCAACTGGAGGAGCTGCTGCTCACCCCGTCCAGCGCGGACGAGTTGGCAATTGGCAACTTGTCTAATCCTAGTGACGAGCATGCTGGCCCAGATACTATGACTTCGCAGTTTGGGTTGGCCGCCATGATTCGTGAAATATACGTGTGTTGATACGCATGCAGATACCTAGGAATTGTGCAGTATGCCAGTATGCATCGCAGTGTACTGCATCAAACTATACCATGCCGTCAATGTTTTTGAAGTTCACCCGTGTGATGGCCCACCATGTGGCATCGCATTGGCTTAAGCCTCACGTGATATTTTTTTGCACCCATGTGACTTATGTTCCGTATTTTTCGATTGGACATAGTTTATGCCATGCGAGCCGAACTCTGTGTTTTGTGCCGTAAGCCAGTGCCAGCATGGCATATTCTACGCGATACTACTTACAGTCGGTGCTCGCTGCATGTCCACTGCATATCATGTATTGGATATTCCACCAGCCCTGTGCAGCTCCAGGCCCGGTGAGGCGCTGGGCTGAGACTCCTTGGCCAAGCTGTGCCAAGCCTGCAGATGCCAAGGCTTGGATTGACCCAACTCCGACTTTAAGGTAACTATTCAGGGATCTATAGGAGCTCATCAGCGCTTTCCGTTTTCCACAAGATATCTGAAAACCATGAAAGTCGCTTGGACGGTGACTGCCAGGCATTGTCGCTCTTTGCCACGCCACTGGGATTCTTGTGTCCTGGATAGCAGTTTTGAGAATCCATGCAATTGGGGTGCCTCCAATTAAATGGAACTACCGTTTTGTTTGTTCTGGCTTCGGCGTCGCCCCGAGGGTACTTGGCAGTAACATTCTGAATTTCCTTCGTCGTGCTTTGAGAGGACGTGTCAGTAGGGTCTGCCACGTGCAGCCTGAACTCGAAACGACCAGCGCCCACACCTGCAACCGCAAAGTCCAAAGCTTAAATCTGACTCCAGGCACGTCTCAGACCTGGGTTTGGCAGACTGGCAGCTACTTGGTGTGATGAACACCACTCAAGAGGTAGTGCAAAGATTGTCACACGGGAAGATATTGGTATTGAAAGGTCAAGCAGACTACCAATGATGGACAAGTAAAGCCAAGCTGCCAGTCAGCCCCAGCCAATCATATACTCCTAACAAGCACTCACGTAATCTTCTCATACGGCTAGTGCTACTTCTGCGACGACGACGACTGCTGCTGCTGCGATTACGGCTGCTACTACTGCTACTTCTTCTACTACTCCTGCTGCTGCTACTCCTGCTGCTGCTACTACTACTGTTGCTACTACTACTGCTGCTGCTGCTGCTACTACTACTACTACTACTGCTACTACTACTGCTACTCCTACTCCTACTCCTACTCCTACTACTACTACTACTACTACAACAACTACTACCACTACCGCTGCTGCTGCTACTACTACTACTACTACCACCACGACTGCTACTACTAGTACTACTACTACTACTACTACTACTACTACTACTACTACTACCACTACCACTACCACAACCACTACCACTACTACTACTACTACTACTACTACTACTACTACTACTGCTACACTACTGCACTATTACTGTACAATTAAGGTACTACTACTGTACAAGTTTAGTAGGCCTCAGCCTCGGTCGATTGTGGT